AGACCAGGGATCTTCCAACTTGGCCCTTTGATGACTTGTGGACTTCAACTCCCAGAATTCCTCAGTTCAGGAATTCTGGGTGTTGAAGTCCACAAGTCGTAAAAGAGCCAAGGTGGCCTACCCCTGCCCTAGTCCATATCAGACCTGCTCAACTGGACCCCTGTCCCTAAGACAAGGCTTGGCTATTTTATGACTTGTGGACTTCGACTCCCAGAATTCCTGAGCCAGTATGGGGGAAACTTTGGCCCCTTGAATGACTTGTGGACTTCAACTCCCAGAATTCCTCAGCCAGCGTGCCTGGCTGAAGAATTCTGGGAGTTGAAGTCCACAAGCCATCAAAGGGCCAAGTTGGAAGACCCCTGAACTAGACCTACCCAATTCCAGCAACTGTTCCTTATATGTTTTAGCCTCCACCCCCTCCCCAATCATCTTTGTTGCTCTTCTCTGCACTCTTTCTAGAGTCTCAACAAATTTTTTACATCGTGGCGACCAAAACTGGATGCCGTATTCCAAGTTTGTCCTTAACGGGTCTTTATAAAGTGGTACTAACACTTCATGTGATCTTGATTCTATCTCTCTGTTAATGCAGCCTAGGGTCAGCCTAAGTACCTGGCAATCTTGGAAAACACGTCAAAGGAAAGAAACACCTCCAACCTTAAAGTCAGCTTGGAAGCACCAAAGGAAATTAGTTTGAAGTTATCTTCCAGCCTAAGAACCCAATCGTTTTTCAAATAGCGATTTATAGAATAACCTGTTCTATGAATCAAGCTGGCTGAATGATGATAATTAAATAGGTTGAGTGAAGAAGTGCCAGGACAGGTTTGGAATAGAATAGAATAGAATAGAGAACAGAGAACAGAATAGAATAGAATAGAATAGAATAGAATAGAATAGAATAGAATAGAATAGAATAGAATAGAACAGAACAGAACAGAACAGAACAGGAGATGGAAGGAAAGAAGATTATTAAATTTTCTGTAATCGTGTCTAATTTCTGCCATCTATGATGGCAGCCACTATGCATTTCTTCTGTGTTAGTTACACTGTTGAACATGCTGTTATGGACACAGAAATAATAAAAAAAATAGTTATAGCCACAAATAGTTATAATTTACAAACATATCCTGAATATTTGTGGCTATTGCTGTAAACAGTTCTGTTCTACTGTTACAATTTTTATTGTGGCTGTTGTTCCAGTTGCTATTTTTGCCTAAACCAAATATGTTACTTATTTTACAGATAACCACTTCTTTCTCTCTCTCTTTCTTTTTTTTTTCTCAGCCAAAAGTGTGGCGAGCTTAAAAATAAACATTTCATAAGCATCACGGGATGTCTCTTTGACGTCGTTTTTCTGGATCCCTTTCCGAATTGTTGTGTCTGTGGCTGGATTATTGAAATCCTGGCTGTGTCTGGGCTTCAGTCAGCACCTTGCCTAATCCTTATTTAATGCCTTAAAATCCTCTTAACGACAAGCACGTCTCTGCTCACGTCCACTTTGGACACCAATTTTGTGAGGCTGCCCACGGCAGGTGTTGAACATTCCAGGTGTCCCACTATTTTTGTGATCCTTTGTGACGCACCCCACCTGGTCATATACACCCTGATGGCCTGCCTAATCAACTGATCTTGTATAATGATCACAGACCTGAAATCGGCAATGATTTCATTCTTACGACAAGTCACACAATTGTCTCTTTTATTTATTATTTATTCAATGAAATAAAATACATCTATTTAATTGATCAGACTCGCATAAGTTAATAAGTAAATAGCGACTTTTCTTTATGGAAATGAGGATTAGTTCCGCGGGAGTTAATTGCACTACCTTCCACGCGTGGGAAAGTTGCGGTTCTAATATGTTTTCCCACGAGGCACGCGGCGCCTGGGAAGGGGCGTGGCTCGAGGGGCGTGGCGGCGAATTTTCCCCGCCCCTCCATTCAATCGCTAGTAGCCAGAAAGCCGAGGCGGAGGTCACGTGCTCCAGCTGGTTCCTGTTCTGTACCGCGCGTGCGCGTTTCCCTTTCTTGATAGAGAAAGTAAAATAACTCAAGTGGTTTTTAGCTTTTCGTCACCGTTATAAATTCTTTCGGAGAATTTATATTTTAGCTTTCATGGGCGAGACCCCTGAAGCATGTGGGCAACGTGTAGGGAGCCCAAGCCAAGTTTCTAACGAAGTATTTAATTTAAGTTTTAGTATTTAAGCAATCCACTAGTGCAGGGGTAGGCAACCTCGGCTCTTTTACGACTCATGGACTTCAACTCCCAGAATTCCTGAGTCAGCTGACTCTGGAATTCTGGGAGTTGAAGTCCATGAGTCATAAAAGAGCCGAGGTTGCCTACCCCTGCACTAGTCCCTTCCCATTTCAACCCTAAGCTACAAATATTCTCTTTTACTTGTCCCTTTCCCCCCCTCAAAAAAAAAAGAGAGAGAAAAATGACCTTTATATTAGAAATACCAAACTAATTAAACTTAGGCATGTCCAGCAGGACAGAGGCCGCCGCTTCTGTCGGGCTGGGGATGATGGGCATTGTAATCCCGTTTGGAAAAAAAGGACAGCGAGCCCAACATCGTGTGTGTGTATTTGTCTATCTATCTATCTATCTATCTATCTATCTATCTATCTATCTATCTATCTATCTACACACATATACACATACACACACATATACATATATACACACACATATACACATACATATACATATATACACACACACACAAATATACATATATATGCACACACATATATGCACACACATATATACATATTTACACATGCCCATTCTGCTTGAGCAGGGGGCTGGACTTGTTGTTAGTTGTGAAGTCGTGTCCGACCCATCGCGACCCCACGGACAACGTTCCTCCACGGGCTGGACTAGAAGACCTCTAAGGTCCCTTCCAGCTCTATTCTATTCACAGTTACTATTCACACACACACACACACACACACACACACACACACACGTTGAGAAAAATAGTCGAACACCGGGATAAATAAATAGATATATATAAAACCCGAATTAGAGGCGTTCTCGTAAGACCAAAATTAACCCCCTTTGGGGAGGCGTGGAGGGAGGTTTCTTGAGAAGCGCACCCGGAAGCTGTCGATGTGGTTTATTTCTCCCCCCACCATCGCGCGGACCGTTCTGCACTTTTTGATTTATCTCTGACCCAGGGGACGTTCCGGCGCTTTTGTGGCGCGCCTCCGTCGCCCGTGCGTGGCGGCGCATGCGCGGTGGGCCTCTCCCGTCCCCCTCAGCCCAGCTCCTCAGAGCGACCCCGGGCGGCGGCGGTGGCGGCGGCGGCGACGCTGAGGCGAAGCGCCGGCGAGGACGACGAAGGGGCGGGAAAGGGACGCGCCGCCACCAAGACGGACTTCCTGTGGGACAAGCGCACCGGGCTGACGGCCAAGAAGGTGAGGCGAGGCGGCGGGGCCGGGCAAGGGAGGCCTCGGGGCGGGTGGGGGGCGGCGGCGGCTCTCCGGGACCCCCAACCAGGCCCGGGAGAGGCCGGCGGAGCAGCCCAGGCGGCCTCCATCCCGGCCCAGCGCCCAAAAGGGCGAATAGGAGCCCTAACGGTCGATGGGTGCACAACGTCCCTGCCAGGTAGGCCAGCCCTCGCCCAGGTTGAGCCGCCCGGAGTTAAGATTGAGGGGAGGGGAGAGGTGCAAATTGTATCAATAAAGAACTCAAAATGGATAAATTGAGGGTTCTTTGGCTTTCTTTGGTGGTGGGGGTGGAGGGGCAGGGAAAGGAGGCCACCAGGAAATCCCATCTGAGCAGGGCAGGGGATTTGGAGGGGACCCTGTTACATTGGGGGACCCGTCGCTCTCTGTGGCAGCCTCCCTCGGGTATCAGATTACAGGCAGTCCTCCACTTACAACCATCCGTTTAGTGACCATTTCGAAGTTGCGACGGCAACACAAAAGAAGGGACTTTTTCACACTTAACGACCGTTGTGGTCACGGGATCGAAATTCAGACGACGCTCGGCAACCGGGTCATACTTAACGACGGTCGGCGTATCCCGGGGTCCCGCGATCCCCTTTTGCCACCTTCCGACCAGCAAAGTCCACGGGGGAAGCCCGACTCGCTTAACAACCGGGTTGCTCGCTTAACAACGGCAGGGATTCACTGAACAGCTGCGGCAAGGGGCGAGACTCACTGGAGAACGGCCTCGCTTAGCAACGGAAACGTTGGGCTCAATTGCGGTCGTAGGTCGAGGACTGGCTGTAATTAGCTTCCTCAGATATCGGTTTATAGCGTTGATCCTCTCTGCAGCGCTTCAGGATGATCTTACTAGATTTTATCTCATTTATCTGATTTTATGATGGTTTTACCTTAATATTTGATCACACGTTTGCTTGTTTATTTAATTTATTTGCCGCTCATCTCATAGCAAACAATATACTCTGTGTGTGTGTTGTGTATGTATGTATGTTTGTGCAGGTGCTTTATTTCAACATTTTTTATTAAGCTGGGTTATAGATAGATAACCTTTATTATCCTTTTTTTTTTTTACTGTGGGCGCGTTGGCACCCGTTAAAAATGAAATTTGCTCTCAAAGTGTACACATACATAACACACGTTTAAACATGCTATATGCGATGTATGCATACACGTACACCCTTACGTATAAATAACATGTTATGGTCTTTTTTTTTGCCGCTTCCTAGCACTTTAAGGTTCAACCTCTCCGTTTAATAATAATAATAAAGTTGGAAGGGACCTGAGAGTCATCTAGTCCAACCCCCTGTTCAGGCAAGAAACCCTAAACCATTTCAGACAAATGGCTGTCCAGTTTCTTCTTTAAAACTTCCAGTGTTGGAGCATTCACCGCTTCTGGAGGCAGGTTGTTCCACTGGTGAATTGTTCTCACTGTCAGAAAGTTTCTCCTTAGTTCCAGGTTGCTTCTCTCCTTGATTAGTTTCCATCCGTTGCTTCTCGTCCGGCCTTCAGGACTATTTGATCCTCTCGTTCTTTCCCTTCCTTCCCTCGCAGATGCCTCGTTCTCGGAGGTTTCTGTCTTCGGAACGCAGCAGCCGGGGCAGCTACCGCGAGTGTTACAGAAACCGCAAACACAAGCGGCGGCGGAGTCGTTCCCGGTCGAGCAGCAGCGAGCGGTGGCATCACCGGGACGACAGCTATCACGTCCGATCGGGGAGGTGAGCCAGTCCCACAAAACAGGCCCTGCAAGCAGAAGGATCACCTTCCTGAATTCTGCTCTCCCCCCCCCCCCAGTTACGACGATCACTCGTCCGACCGACGTGCCTACGACCGGCGATACCTGGAGGATTACCGGCGAGACGGCTACAGCGACCGGGGCGGGGATGCATACTACGAGCCCGAATTCCAGCCTTCGGATGAGTACCAGCGTTCCCGGGACGGCAGTTACCGGAACTGCAAGAGTAACCGGCGGAAACGGCGACGGAGACGGCACGGAAACCGCTCCTTCAGCCGTTCCTCCTCGGTGAGTCATCTCTGCCTCTTCTGATCCTTTGATCCCCGGATCTCTTCAGCCTTTCCAGATCTCTGGAATCGGCTAGGAGTGGCATTCTGGATTCGTGGGAATTGGCATCCTGGAATGGGGTCCGAGTCTGTCCTAAGGGGCATCCGTGTGGCTTTTGAGTGGCTTGGAAATTGAAAATTTTCCTGTGACTGGCAGTAGTGGAGGCTTGGGAAAAGGGGGAAAAAATGTGATTTTAAAGAATTTCCTTCTCTAAAGTTTCCGCTGCACAATGCTAGGCTTTTAAAGGCTTTTATCACGCAGAATATTATTTCTAATATTTATCTTGAAGAATTTCAAAGTAAAATATCTCTAATCAGACTCTTTTCAGTGGTAGCCCCAGACCCTTTGGAATGATCAAGCTGCCCCCTCACCAAAGCTGATCTTGTCCAGCTCTATTAACATTTTGAAAAGCATTGAGAAAAAAACAAAACCTTGGTGCTTTTTCCCCTGAAGTTTTGGGCCAGGTTATTAAACTTATTTATTTATGATTTAATTTATATGCTGCCCGTCTCACTGTCTCGGGTGATTTAAAAGCCACCATCTTGGGTGAGCTGGGTTGGATTTGATGCCCCTGTGGTATGTTTTATTATTATTTTGTCGTTGATTTGGTGACCTGGGTATAAATTAGACGGGTGGATCGATAGATAATTTCTGAGCAGACTACAACATTGGATGATGGTTGATCATATCTGTTCATTCCATAAAATTCTCTGCCTTCAAAAACAGCTGAAAGTTTCAAAAAAATCTTGTTAGACACAGCAAGCAGAGCATAGGGCAAAGATGCTTTGGCCTCTTTTGAAATCTTTAATTTTTATTTTTATTTTTGGGATCTCTCTGTGTGGGTGTGCTAGACAAATGTTGATCTTCTGCCTATACACATAGTCCTTGACTTACAACCCAAATGCAGTTGTTAAGCGAGGCCTCGTGTCACTGCACCCAATTTTACCGCCTTTTTTTCGCTGCAGTTGTTAAGGGAATCTGATTTTGCCGATCAGAAGCCAGCTGGAAATGTTGCAAATCACAGTAATGTGACTACAGGCTGCCAAGCACCCAAACTGTGATTGTGGCCTTAGTGTGATTGTTGTAACGTTAAGCACCGGTCCTAGATCACTGTCCTAACTTTGAACTGACCTTAAACAAAGGGTTCTAAGTCGAGAACTACCTGTATATTAGTTGGCACTTAGGATTTTTATTCAGTGTGCACCCTTATCAGCCCTGCTGTAAGACTTGTTTTGATTTTTATTTATTAAATTTATATCCTGCCCCTCTCGCAAATAAAACAACTCTGGTTTTCCTTCCACAACAGTCCTGCGAGGTAGATTATTAGATGATGTGCTTCTTTAGAACATATTAGTTTAGTTTGGGCTTAAGAGTCTGAATCAAACTGGATCACTTGCTTCAAGCGAGGGTCCAGATAGCGGATTCTCTACACAGCATAAACTAAATTCGAAACGATCTTGATAAGTTGGAAACATGGCAGTTCAGCCCAAAAGGAGGTTTGGAAAGGGTTCAGGTGCAAAATTTAAATTCAGGCCGCCCAACGCCCAGATGCAGGTTGGGTTAATAATCCGAGGGAGAAAGATTTTGACAAGGGACCCCGCCCCAAACCGAACTCAAGAAACCACTGTGAGGCTGCCTGAGTTGAAATCCTAAAAAGTCAGTGACCTGTGCGCTGTGTGAGCCAGGCCCACATTTGAAGGGGAATTCGGACAGAAGGACCAGCAGGACGAGAAAAGTAAATAGGAGGGGGTCCTTCGTGGGGACTAGAAACCTTGAACAGAGGGCTTATTCTGCCTGGAGAAAGAATAACCCAGAGGGAACGCACTCGTGTCGTCCTTTTTCATTCTCGCCCCAGAGAAAGTCAGCACAGCCCCTCTGTACACCCCTGCCTTTATGAGAGGTCAGAATTGATGACCTCTACGGCCTTTAGCAGGCAAGCAGAGTCACGCTTGCGTTTTAAGTGGGGGGAACGCCAAACTCTGATAGGAACCCCCCCCCTCTCCCAATTCCACCCAGGTGGGCTGTTTATTGGTGGTGATGGTAGATAGGCATTTCTTTTCCTTTGTCATCCTTCCCAGGCTCCCCCCCCCGTCTCCTAAAACGCCATCCCCCCCTCCACCCCCTCCTTTCCCAAGAATGACTCGGGCTTTCTGACATTGGGGAGGGGGGAGATAACCCCCAATCCAAGCCAGGACATTTCATCGCCAGCTTGGCCTGTCCCGTCCTAGAAGCGACCAGGGTGGGATTATTAACCTCGGAACAGGCCAGATTTGGACGCTGGTTGGTGCGAACGATTTGCTGAGTCTCTTAAATTGGGTGGGTGGGAAAAATGGGCTTTCCCCCCCCCCCCGTCTGGCCTTTTCTTGAATTGTGGCCTACGGGGGTCCTCTTCTCGGCCGGGGGCGGGGGGGGGGCACCCCGTTTGCAGAAGATGACCTCCCTAACTTGGATTCACGGTTCCTAGGTTGTTGGTTTTTTTTTTTTTTTTTTACACAGCTGGTCCTCGACTTACAACAGTTGATTTAGCGGCCGTTCAAAATCCCAACGGCACCGAAAAGAGGGACTTAACGACCCTTTGTCGCCCTTAACAACCTTCGCAGCGTCACGTGATCAAAGTTCGGCCACTGACTCGTGTTTGTGACGGCCGCAAGGTCCCCTGGGGTCACGTGATCCGCTTTTGCGACCTTCTGACACTCAGTGGGGAAGCCAAATTCACTTCACAAGCGTGTGACTGATTTAATAATTGTAGCTTGGCAACCGTGGCGAGAAAGGTCGTAAAACGGGACAAAGCCCACTTAACCGCGTAACCGCTGGGCTGCCTTGTTGCCAGTCGAGGACCCCCTGTAAAAGACCAGCCTGAGCGGGCGGGCGCGTGTCTTGCTGAGCGTTTCTCTGCCCCCCGTTGCCCTCTTCCCTTGTTGTTTACGTATGTTGTATATTGTTTATACACATATACGCCTCTGTGCCGTTTTGAACTTGGCCTGGAATCCGACCCGCCGCCACCTCCTCCATCCCTGCCACGGGCCCACCGTGTTGCTCGGCCGGCCGGCTGGCTTCCCCCCTTCGCCGCCCTTCGGGTGAAAACTTGAATTGAATGAATGAAAACCCTAAACCCTCTCCGCCCCGTCGCCGCCGCGTTTTCGGGGGGGCCCTCCCCGGCAGCAGAGTCGTCCCGGCACCAGGAGGAGAGCCAAGAACGTGGAGGACGACGTGGAAGGCCACCTGATCTATCGGAGCGGCGACTTCCTCCAAGAAAGATGTACTGCGAAATCGTAACATTAAACCTAGTCTCTAGTTAACCTCCCCGTCGCAGCCACGACAGAATTGTGATTAGCTTCCCTTCCCTTCCCTCGTCCGTTCCTGTTTTTTTTTTTTTTTTCTTTTTAAAGACCAAAACACAGCCTCTTTTTTTTTTTTTCCCCTTCTTCTTTTTTCCCCTTCCCTTTCCTTTTTGCCTGCCTCCTTCCCTCTTTCCCTCCCTCCCTCCTATTTTATATTTTTTTTTTCTGTCTTGATATCCAAAGCGTTTAGGGGAGGAGGGCGGTCCTTTGAACCGGCCAAGATAGCTTTTTTTTTTTTTTTTTTTTTTTTGGTAGTGATATTTTGTTGTTCGGCCCCCACAAGTCTCACCTCCTTTTCCTCCTCTTCTCCTCTTCCCTGCCCCCCCTATCTCTTGTCCCCTTTCCTCTGCAGATGAGATCATCACCACCCTCGGGGAAGGCACCTTTGGGCGCGTGGTGCAGTGCATCGATCACCACAGGTGAGTGTAGACGGCCTCGGCCTGCTTGAAGTTGACTTTGGCAAAAAAAAAGGGGCTTCTCTCCAGCTAGGGTGGACGTCCAGCTGGCTGCAGATTTTCCTCCCAGACTGGATGGCCGCCAGAGGCCAAGCCTAGGGAGAATTTCTACGAGAGATGGAGAGAGAGAGAGAGAGAGAGAGAGAGAGAGAGAGAGAGAGAGAGAGAGAGAGAGAGGAGATGTAGAGATAGATAAATATTGGATGGATAGATGAGAGATATAGATAAGATAGACAACAGACACAGATAGAAATAGATGATACAGAAGAAATAGATAATAGAGATAAGATAGAAAACAGATTGGAGATGGATAAGATAGATATCAATAAGAAAGAGGTAGGTAGGTAGGTAGAGATAGAGAGATAGATAAGATTGATAAAGATCAATAAAGGTAGGTAAGTAGATTGATAGATAGATAGATAGAGATTGAGATAGATAGATGAGATAGATTAAATAGATAGATGAGATTGAGATAGATGAGATATAGATAGATTAGATCAGTGGTTCTCAACCTGTGGGTCGGGACCCCATTTGGGGTCGATCGACCATTTCACGGGGGTCGCCAAGCAAGGCTGTCTGCCATTTTTTTGTCCGCCATTTTCTTCCCCTTTTCCGGCGGGTGCCTTACCTCCCTTGGGCTTGGCCAGCTGGTGGTCGGCCTGCTCCGTCTCTGCCGCTTGCCAGCTACACCTCGGCCGGCGCAGGGAGCGGAACCATGCATGCGCGGCGCTCCCGGGCAGGAAAAGTCCTCGACTTACGACCGGTTGGGTAGTCCTCGACTTACGACCGATTTAGTCCTCGACTTACGACCGGTTTAGTCCTCGACTTACGACCGGTTTAGTCCTCGACTTACGATCGGTTGGGGTCGCGGCATTAAAAAGGTTGAGAACCACTGGATTAGATAGATAGATAGATAGATAGATAGAGATAGATAGATAGATAGATAGATAGATAGATAGATAGATAGATAGATAGACAGACAGACAGACAGACAGACAGACAGACAGACAGACAGACACAGACAGACAGACACAGATAGACAGACACAGATAGATAGATAGATAGAAAGGAAAGATAGAAAAGAACTAGTGTTTTTCAACCTGAGCAACTTTAAAATGTAGGGACTTTTGTAGGGTCAAAACGCAACCTAAGGGGATTTTTAATCAAATTTTTAGTCCGGGTTTTAGGGGGTTCCAGGGAGAGGGGTGGGCAAACTGAAATTAGGGTGGTGGGCGAGGATGATCCCCCACCGGGGAATTCTCCCAGGCCGGCTGAAGGCCTCGGCGAGGTGGGCGTAGGTCCTGGAATTGGGGAGGGGGGGAGGGTTTGCCTAATAGAGGGCAATTCCATCAAGACTGTGTATGGGAGGGGTAGATATGGCGGGAGCAGAGGGCCATATCACACTAGGGGAGGGCGCACCCGCTGTTTACGAGCTGTGGCGCGCTCCGGCCCCCATGGCTCTTCTTGCAAACTAGGGGGTTTAGGATCTCAGGGCCTGGGCTTCCGGCTGATGCTATGTAACGCCAGGTCCATGGTTAATAAAGCCCCCCTCATTTATGATTTGGTATCGGAGGGGGAGGTGGACCTGGCGGGTATTACGGAGACCTGGCTGGGCCAAGAGGGGGGGTGCCCCTCGTTGAAATGTGCCCGCCAGGTTACCGTGCATTTCACCAGCCGAGAGCCCAGGGTCGGGGTGGCGGGGGTGGCGGTTGTTATTAAGGAAGGCCTGGACCCAAGAGAGACCACTGTGCCGCAGACTGCCGGTTGTGAATCCCTAGGTGTGAAGTTGGGTCATGGGAGGCAGCAGGGCGTGCTGATTCTATACCTGGCTCCCCGCTATGTATCAGCAGCCCTACCCGAGCTTCTCAGTGTGATAGCCGAGATGGCGATTGAGACCCCCAGACTGTTAGTCATGGGGGATTTCAATCTGCCGTCGGTAGGTGAAGCATCTGAGGTGGCTCGGGAGTTCATGGCCTCCATGACGGCCATGGACCTGACCCAATTAGTTGATGTGCCTACCCACACCGGAGGACACACACTGGACTTAGTTTTTGCCTCCGGCCAGTGGTTGAGTGATCGTGGTTTAGGGGAAATAGTCGTTGAGCCCCTGTCATGGTCAGATCACTCTCTCCTTCGGCTGGCCTTTCCCACCGCTACGCCCCACCGCGGGGAGCCGGAACCGGAAGTGACAAAATGGTTCCGCCCCAGGCGCCTGATGGACCCCGAGAGGTTCCAGACGGAGCTTGGGCCAATACCCGAGACCTTGACCCGCGGCTCGACTGAGGACCTGGTGGCCGCCTGGAATGGTGCGGCCGCGGGGGCCCTGGACTGGGTCGTGCCTTTGTGGCCTCTCACCCGATGCCGGACTACCTTGGCTCCTTGGTTCTCCGAGGAGCTGAGGGTGATGAAGCGTCGGAAGAGATGCCTAGAGGGTAATTGGAGGACCACCCGCTCCGAATCTGACCGGACACTGGTAAAGTCCCATTTAAGGACTTACCTAGTGGCGATAAGAGCGGCGAAACGAAACTATTTCTCCGCTCTTATCGCGTCTGCAGGTAACCGATCTGCCGCCCTGTTTAAGGTGTCCCGCTCCCTCCTTCATCAGAGGGTCCAGGACGCCCCTCTGCAGGGTCGGGCAAAGGAATTTGGGTGCTACCTGCATGACAAAATCGATCATATCCGGGCCGGGTTAGCCTCCGATTGGAGTAGTTCAGACGGGCCAATGGAGGCAGGTCTTGAGTCCACTTTGTGGGAAGAGTTTGATCCTGTGACTTCCGAGGACATGGACAGGATACTGGGACGGCTGAACACCACCACATGTTTACTGGACCCGTGTCCCTCCTGGCTGGTACTGGCCTCCCGGGAGGTTACACAAGGCTGGCTCCAGGGAATCGTCAGCGCTTCTTTGAGTGAGGGGTTCTTGCCGGCCGCCTTGAAAGAGGCGGTGGTGAGGCCCCTCCTCAAGAAGCCCTC